TTTTGTGTTTGGGGCAGGGACAGGGGAGCCACATCTGATGGTGCTCAGAGGCAAGGCAAGCACCTTAGTCCGTGTACTTCTTCAGGCCCAATAAACAAAAAGAAAAAAATTGGAGGGGACCCACATCCAGTCATGCTCAGGGTTAGTCCCACCTCTGCACTCACAAATTTCTCCTGTTGAGACTTGAAGGGCATATGTGATGCTGGGGATTGAACCTGGATCATCCACATGCAAGGCAAGCAGCCTACCCGCTGTACCAGCCACCACCATCCCCCTCCCGCTGGCCAAATTTTTATTCTTGGGTTTTTGGGCCACACCTGGTGGTGCTCTAGTCTTACTCTAAGCTCTGTGCTCAGGGATCATTCCCAGTAGTGTTTGGGTGATCACATGTAGTACAAGGGACAGAATCAGGGCTAGCTATATGCAAGGCAAGCTCTGTGCTTACCACCTGCACTATTTCATTTCTCTAGCTAATAAATTTATGTATATATACATTTTTTTTATGGGGACCACACCTGGCGGTGCTCAGGGCTTACACCTGGCTGTGCTCAAGGATCACTCCTGATGTGTTTAGATGAGCTGCCTGGTATCCAACCCTACTATACTATTACTCTGCTTCCATAAATTTATAATACATATAGCATATATATTATATATATTCTTTTTGGGTCACACCCTAGCGATGCTCAGAGGTTACTTCTCATTCTGCACTCATTAATTACTCTTGGTGGTGCTCAGGAGACTATGTGACATGCTGGAGTTCAAACCAGAATTGGCTGCATGCAAGCCAAATGCCCTATCTGCTGTACTATTGCTCAGGCACTGTCACTGTCATTGTCCTCCCGTTGTTCAACGATTTGCTCGAGCGGGCCCAGTAACGGCTCCATTGTGAGACTTGTTGTTACCGTGTTTGGCATATCAAATTCGTCACGGGTAGCTTGCCAGGCTTTGCCGTGCAGGCAAGATACTCTCGGTAGCTTGCCAGGCTCTCTGAGAGGGGCAGAGGAATCAAACCCGGCTCGGCTGGGCCGGCTGAATGCAAGGCAAACGCCCTACCGCTGTGCTATTGCTCCAGCCCTGCTCAGGCACTATATTCCTTAAATTATTTGATGTACCTCTGGGTGTAGCCCACCCCCTAAGAAGAAAAAAAAAAAGAAATGCACTCAGGGGCATCTGGGTGCCACTACCAGAAATTCTTAGTTAAGTGGACCAGTTATTAAAACTGCTTATGTGACACTACTTGGTCCCAGCTATTCTGGAGCTGCTCTGTAGACCATATCACGTGTAGGCCGACCCAGATTCAATCCCCCGAGCCCAGCCAGGAATGAACCCTGAGCAGTAAGTTAAGAGTATTTCTTGAGCATTGCCTCAAAATAAAAACAAAAACAGATAAACTGTTTGATTATTCTATTTTTTTTTTCTTTTTGGTTCACACCCGGTGATGCACAGGGGTTACTCCTGGCTTGTCACTCAGGAATTACCCCTGGCGGTGCTCCAGGGACCATATGGGATGCTGGGAATTGAATCCGGGTTGGCCATGTGCAAGGCAAATGCCCTACCTGCTGTGCTATTGCTTCAGCCCCTCTTTGATTATTCTAAAGTATATAATTCAAGGGCCTGAGAAATAGTACAGCAGGCAGGGCACTTATGCTTCCTTGAGCACCGATCATGGAGTGTAGAGGCAGGAGTAAACCTTGAGCACTGCCAGCAGTGAATCAAGTTAAAGAAAAAAGCAGCATATAATTCATTAAGACCATTAATGATGTTGTATTACCATTACAATGGTTTAGTTCCTGCCTGAAATTTGTGGTGGAGAAAGAGATTAAGTCCTTGAAGACACAATCACGCCCCAGGAAGTGGTTTTAAGTGTAGAGGAGAGCTAAGTGCAAGTGTGGATTCTGGGGGAGAGTGTGATAGTCTGTAGTTAGAAGCTCAAAAGGGCTTAGAACCAGAAGTAGGTCGACCTGGGTGCAAGGACAATGATTCCAAAATGCTGGTTAACATCAAGAGACTGACCTGCAGGGCAGATTATAGCTGGTTTCCAATGTCCAGAACTGGGAATAATGAAATAGGGTCGGTAAAGCAATAAAGACACAGAAATTCTTCAATTGATTGGGATCCCATGCTGTACCCACGTTCTGCCCTAAAGGACTGCAGAATAGGCCGATTCCTCAGAGAGGCTCTCAGACAGGATTCTTCCTTGCCCTTGTTTTCCTGCAGGACCTCCCCTGAGTTGGTCTGAGCCTGGTCCCGGCAGATTCTTACCCCTCTCCCCAGAAAGCTTTGCTTAATTGGAAAATGGGGCTTTCCAGCACCCGGTGGTAAAGGGGGTTCTGACACCTGCTACTGGCATCTGGGGGGCACTCTTAGAAGGAATGCCCAGGGTTCAGAAGCGGAAAAAGTGTTTCCACAGGAAGAGCATGGCTTTATTAGCTTCAGAACAGTTTCCAAAGGGTGGTGAGGGGCCCCAAGCAGGGGCAACCAGAGGACTCCAGGGACTCCTACCCTCTAGGTTCCTCCTGCTCCTCTGCTCACTGCTGTGTGACCCTAGCGCATTTGCACTTGTTTCTTTTCTTTAACTGTCCCTCCAGAAAACGCTGGGGCACAACCCACTCCTTCTAGCCATCACGCCTTTACAGTCTTCTCCCTTACACCTCCTGCCTCTACCCTAGGGGCCTGGGCAGGGATGGATCGGTCTGCCTAGTCCATCGTTTTGATGGGTTGTGGATACTGAAGAATGCCGCCTTCACCTCGGGGCGCCGCCAGCCACTGACCTTCCTTGGCAAGCAAGTGGAGGCCTGAGGAAGCTGGAGGTAAGGGGTGGAGCAGCTCGAGGCGGGGGCGGGCCCCTCGGACCTGGCAAAGCGCGCAAAGACTCCTGATGATGTAGCTGAGGGGGCGGGACCCTGATTTGGGGACCGCGCCAGACTGGAACAAAGGCAGGCGGCTGAGACAAAGCTCCTGCCGGGAACAAAGGACACACCCGGGGGCCTGTGAGTTTCAGCCTCGCGTGGGAGCCTGGACCTGGAGTTGTCCCCCGTTTGCCCGCTTGAGCCCGGAACAGGTGCTGGAGGGTGTAGCGGCTGCACGAACGTGCCTCTCTCTCCTTCCTCTTAAAATCGCCTCAGCCCTTTCCCGGCGCTGGAGCACTGTGCACGGAGGAGTCCTGCCCCGTGGCCCGAGTCCGAACCAAGGGAACAGCTCCAGCGCATCGGTCTCTGTTTTTCTCAGAGCCTATTGATCTCTGACAGATTTTTATTCTGAGACTGTGCTGTCCGCCTCAGATCCCCATCAAAGATCCTTTCTCAGAGACTGGATTTCCCCCACCTGCATCCTACTTCAAGACAAGATCTTCACAGATCCTGCTTACCCTCAGACAGGATCCACCCACAGATGTTGCTTCCACTAGGAGGCCCCCTTCAATGATCCTGCTTTCTCTTCTCTTACGCAGGATTCTTTCCACTGTTCCTTTCTCACACAGGATTCTCTCCAGGGATCCTGTTTCCCCTTAGGATTTTGTGCAGATCATGCTTTACTTCCACAGATCCTGCTTGACCACACAGGACTCTTTCCAGTTTCTGTTTGCATTAGACTTCTTTCTACAGATCCTGCTTCCCCTGAGATGATCCCCTTCACAGATCCTGCTTCCCCTCATAGAATCCATCCAAAGAAGCTGCTTTTTCTTGGGTGTGGGGGGAAGTGTGCCACACTGTTGATGCTCAGGGATCACACCTGGAGACGCTGGAGGTGCAAACCCAACCCAGGTCGGCTGGGTTGCAGAGGTACAAACCCAACCCAGGTCGGCTGTGTACTGCCACTCTGGCCCTTCCCCCAGGATTCTTGCCACAAATCCTGCTTCACCTTCTAAGGGTCATATAGATAGGACCCCCCTTCATTGATAGAATTCTTTCCAAACACCGTTTCCTCCCTCAGTCCGACTGGAGCCACCCCACCCAAATATTCTGTTTCCTCCATTTTGTTAGTTTTCTTCTTTTGCAGATCCTGCTTCCTCTCTAGATGAGATTTACTCTTACCGAGTTTTCCGCTTTAGAATCCCCCTACTGTTGAGGTTCAATTCTCCCACGTGGAAAGAGTCAGCACATACATTAAATGAAAATTGGGGAGGATGGGTCCAAGAAATAGTACAGGGTGTAAGGTACTTGCTTGCTTTGCATGCAGCAGACCCTGGTTTACTCCCTGGCACTGCTTGTCCCCGAGTGCTGCCAGGAGTGACCCATGAACATAGAGCTAGGAGTAAGCCCCAAGTTTATACGCTGTGGTCCCACGGAAACAAAAAAGGGACCGTGAGGGGCCAGGAAACTGGAGCTCACGGTTTGCATGGGGAGGCTGGGTCCTCAACACCAATTACTGTCTGGAGTAGCCCTTCAAGCACCACCATGGCCTTAAAGCAAAAACAACATAAAAGCAGGCAAGTTGAGAAGGGGCCTCCAATGGAACGCAGGGAAACCTTTAGGATCAACATTTGGTTTTAATGTTTCTCAGGTTAAACAGTGAAAAATTAAAACGCAAAAGTTAGCTGCCGGGCTCAGAACAACATTCCCACCTTCGGCAGGACCCTGCACGGGTACCCCAACGCCTTAGGACCAGTCCGAATACCGCCCCCGCTTCAGGCACTGGGTGACGCGGAGACTGGAGAAAACTCCGGGCGGTCCAGAGGGGCGGGGAAGGAAGTGGCGGCGCGTGGCGCCAATGCGCGTGCGCTGTAAAGCAGCGAGGAGTTGGGCTGAGGGGAAAGCACGTTCAATCAACGGTGCACGCACCACGCCCTCAGCCAGGTTGCGGCGGTGACGTAACAAGGGCTCTGCCCCTGCTACACGCGCAGCACTAAGAGTCTCCAGGCCGGGCTGGGCGGGCCGCGCTGGGCGCGTGCGTACTGGCCGGTCTTAACGGTGGCTCCGCCCCGGGCTGAAGGCGCCCAGTGCGCGTGCGCGCTGGCGTCGGCGCCAGTTATTTCTGTACCGCCCCTCGGCCACGGCTCTTTCTGCGAGCAGGCGCGCGGGCGAGCGGTTGTACGCGTGGACTGTGGCGTGGGCTTAGGCGGCCGCCTGAGAGGCAGGCAGCGCGGCGCAGAGGCGGGTGGCGGGCCGGCAGCGGCCGGTCGGGCCTCGGCAGCGCCCGGCGCGCGGGAGGCGACGGCCCAGGCGGCGCGTGGCGGCGCTCGGCCTCGCGGCTGCGGCGGCCCAGCCGTTGGCGGCCCGCTCGTCTGCGCCTGCGCAGCGGACCCCGTGCTCCTCCTCCCCCTAGGCGCCCCCGGTGGCTGGTGAATGGCGGCCTCAGCGGCGGCGGCCTCGGCCTCGGCGGCGGCGGCCGCAGCCGCAGCCTCTGCCTCGGCTAGCCCTGGCCCGGGCGAGGGCTCGGCGGGTGGCGAGAAGCGCGCTGTAGCCTCCTCGGCCGCAGGCTCGGCCTCGGCTGCGGCCTCCGCCTCGTCTCCCGCAGGGGGCGGCGGCAGCGAGGCATTGGAGCTGCTGGAGCATTGCGGCGTGTGCCGGGAGCGCCTGAGGCCTGAGAGGGAGCCGCGGCTCCTGCCCTGCTTGCATTCGACTTGCAGCGCCTGTCTCGGGCCCGCGGCCCCTGCCGCCTCCAACAGTGCAGGGGACGGGGGTGCGGCGGGGGACGGTGCCGGTGAGTGCGGGCTGCCGACCGCATCTCCCACCCTGGTTTCTGAGCCAGACCTGCGGGCTCAGGGTCGTACTCCTGCTTTGCGCCAGCGAAGCTTGCAGAGATTGGCCTAATTGTGTGGGGGGAGTGGGGTCCCTGCTTCGAGTTTAGGAACGAACTAGGTCCCGGTTAACGATCGGGTTTTCCGATCTAAAAGGCTCCTTGTCTGCTTCGCAGTGGTGGATTGTCCTGTATGTAAGCAGCAGTGCTTCTCCAAAGACATCGTGGAGAATTATTTTATGCGCGACAGTGGCAGCAAGACTGCTACCGACTCCCAGGATGCAAATCAGGTATGTTAGAGCATAGCTGTCCTTAGGGTGAACTGTAGTCCGAGGGGAGGGCACCCTCCCAGGTGGAGAGCAGCACTGCCTGCAGGGCTCTTTTCTATTGCTGCAGGGCTTAGGGTGGGGAGAGGAGGTTTGATAAAGGTTGAATCAATGCACTTCTCTTGCCTCGGTTTGTTTTTCTCTGACTCTTGTTGTTGCCCATTAGTGCTGCACGAGTTGTGAGGACAATGCTCCTGCTACCAGCTACTGTGTGGAATGTTCTGAGCCTCTGTGTGAGACGTGTGTGGAGGCACACCAGCGGGTGAAATACACCAAGGACCACACTGTGCGATCCACCGGTATGCGGGGTGCAGGGTCCCGAGCAGCTTGCAACTTTGCAGTAAATGATAGCCAGTTATCTAGGGGGTGCCATTTGTCGAGTTCTGAATCAAGAATTCAGAAGGGAATCCCTAAAATGGTCAAGTTGGTGGGGAGAAGGTGTTTGGCCCACACCTTGCAGTTCGCAGATTGTCACCCCCGATGATGTATGTAGTACATGACAACGTTTGTAGTGCCAGCAATTTGAACCGGGGTTGCAGCTACATGCAAGGCAAATGCCTTACATCCTGTATCATTCTGTTTCCACCCCTTTCCCCCCAAGTACAATCTAAAGTCAGCTGGTAGTGTAACTTAATTACAGGCAGGTGGGTGAAGGTGCTCAGGGGAATCTGTTTGTTACAATGTGTAGTGTACAGAGATTTAAAGAAGTCCTTCCAGGAATTTACAGGTACTAAGTGGGTTCCAGTGGTGTATGGAGAAGCACATGTACACAGATGACAATTTGGGTAGGCTATAATGGGTCTCCCAGTCCAGGGGTTCTTGACACTTGGCTATAGTTTGTAAGACAGGTCTCAGGGCGAGTATTGACAAAGACCACCTCTTATGGGTTGAGTTTGGAAGTGTTTTAGCTTTGGTGCCATGGATCTACTAAGAGTTTATCTTGTTACCCCGAAACCTTTTTCTGTATGCTGGCAGTGGTATGAAAAGGGTGTCAGGTCTTTGTTTTTATTTCTATTTTTTTATTTTTAAGAGTCTGTTTCTTTTATTTTTAATGGAGTCTCAAGTCTTTGTTTTTATTTTTTGTTTACTGGCTCTTGTGTGGTTACATAGGAACTTGATGAGGTCTGAGGAGCCAGAACTAAAGGTCAGGGGTCTTGTTTGGTGGGGTATTCTGGATTCCAGGCCAGGCCAAGGTGACGAAAGAGTGGAATAGAAAGATGCAGCCTGGGCTGATCTGTCCTGATGTATTTTAAATTGGTTATGTCATTTGGGTAAACATTAACATTTGTTCACAAGTTGCTTTCTGATGGGCGATATGCTGTGGGGGTGATGATTATCAACTGGGTATTTTTTGGGGGTGGTATTGTGAACACTAGGACCCTTCTCTCAGAGAGGTGGGTAGCCACTTTTCTGTGGGTCCTGGATGAGATCTCCTTTTCACCTGAAAAGGCTCTGTAAATGCCTGCTGTGGTTTGTGGCCTTCGCTTACCGAGAAGAGGGAGGTCCTGGTATGGTTTCTTGAAGAAACTGCTTTGAACGGTGTCTCTATGCCCTGATTACTTTCTGTCTGTGCTAGAAAGCATATCCTGCCTGCTGGGATGCCACTGTAGCCAGAGTCCCTTTCCCTGCTGGACAGAATCTACTGTGAGTGGAGGAGCCAGGGAGCCCAGTGGGGGGTTTGGAGGCAGAGCTCTTTCCTCTTGTCCTGCAGAGGGAACTTCAGGGGGGAATGTCTCCTGCCAGAGACTGTCATTCATACCTGTTGTATTGTCACCTGTAGAAGGAGGGGGTGGTGGGTCTTGTGACTCTCAGGGGCACTGATTTGGAGAACAAGAATCTTGACTTCTGTTTGTACTACCTCAGGACCCTCTGGGGCTTCCAGTAGGTAGTCCAGGGTTTTAGGACTAGCAGGAAGTGAAACTCCAAATGCCACCAGATCTATGTGGGGCCAATGCTGAGTTTCATTGTATGGTTTCTATTACACAGGGCCTGCTAAATCACGGGATGGTGAGCGCACAGTGTATTGCAGCGTGCATAAGCATGAGCCCCTTGTGCTGTTCTGTGAGAGCTGCGACACCCTCACTTGTCGGGACTGCCAGCTAAATGCTCACAAAGACCACCAGTGAGTCTTGGGTTTGGGTGAATGGGCCTTATTCCCCTACTCTGTTGCCAGACTACATTGTGTCTGTGTCTGCCTGTAGGTATCAGTTCTTGGAGGATGCAGTGAGGAACCAGAGAAAACTGCTGGCCTCGCTGGTGAAGCGCCTTGGGGACAAACATGCAACCCTGCAGAAGAATACCAAGGAGGTTCGCAGCTCGTAAGTTTGAATGCTGTATCTTTGGGAAGAGGGTGTACTCAGCTGTGCGTCTTCCTCATTTGACTTAACCTGTCCTATTTCCTCCCACCTCCCACACTCCTCCAGAATCCGCCAAGTGTCTGATGTACAGAAACGCGTGCAGGTGGATGTTAAGATGGCTATCCTGCAGATCATGAAGGAGTTGAATAAGCGGGGCCGTGTGCTGGTGAACGATGCTCAGGTTTGTGGGAGGGAATATCCCTAGGCGCCTGTGCTGGCTGCTAGGAGAGGAAAGATCCTAATACTCTATTCCTTCCTTGTTTTAGATTTTGCTTTGTTTTTGGTCCACACCTGGCATTGCTTAGGGCTTACTTTTTTGGCTGTATGCTTAGCAGACCTCATACAGTTCCCAGGTACCCTTGTGGGCCTAGGGGATCATATGTGTCCAAGGCAGGCACTGAACTATGCTCCAGGCCTTCTTTACTCATTCCCCCTTCCCACTCCCCCTTGGAAAAGTGTTTTTTAAATTTATTTTGAGTTTTGGGCCACACCTGGCTGTGCCCAGAGCTCAGTTTTAGCTCTGTGGTCTGGTGACTATGGAGTAAAGGGGATTGAACCTGGGTTGCTTTAAGCTAAGCACCTTGCTTATTGTACTCTCTCCAGCTGTTTTATAACATTATTTTTTATTATTTCAGTCATACCTGGTGGTGCTAGGGTTACTTCTGGCTCTGTGTTCAGGAATCACTAGGTGGACTCTTGGGATCATACGGAGTGCTGGGGATTGAACCTGGGTCAGCCTTTTGCAAGGCAAATTCCCTAGCTGCTATACTGTCACTCTGGTCCGTCTTATGCTTTTACCTGCTTTTTTCTCCACCCACAGAAGGTCACTGAGGGGCAGCAGGAACGCCTGGAGAGGCAGCATTGGACCATGACCAAGATTCAGAAGCACCAGGAGCACATTCTTCGCTTTGCTTCATGGGCCCTGGAGAGTGACAACAACACCGCACTACTGCTCTCCAAGAAACTGGTATGTGGTAGTTGACATGGAAGTGCTGGGCCTCAGGTACCAAGCAGCACTTGGTCCCATGGATTCTGAATCACTGCTTTTGTGCTCATCATTGCTCTGCCCTCAGATCTACTTCCAGCTGCACCGGGCCCTCAAGATGATTGTTGACCCTGTGGAGCCCCATGGTGAGATGAAATTCCAGTGGGACCTCAATGCCTGGACCAAGAGTGCAGAGGCCTTCGGTAAGCCTTTCTTTACTTCGATTTCATGTTGCCATTATTTCAGGTATTCTTGTTTGTGCTTTATCGTTCTTCCTCCCATAGGCAAGATTGTGGCAGAGCGTCCTGGCACCAATTCGACAGGCCCTGCATCCATGGCCCCTCCCCGGGCTCCAGGGCCCCTGAGTAAGCAGGGTTCTGGCAGCAGTCAGGTGAGCATGGAAGTGGGTAGCCTGTGGAGGGAGAATAGGGTTGTGGGGATCCCATGGGACACCTGCCCACTGAAGTACCCCCACTCTGCCCACAGCCCATGGAAGTGCAGGAAGGATATGGCTTTGGGTCAGGTGAGTGGATATGCCTAGCTTGTGGGAGGAGTGCTAGCATCCATGTTTCAGGTTCATATTAGCTCACTGTCCCTTTATCTATTTTGAGCAGATGACCCTTATTCTAGTGCAGAGCCTCATGTTTCAGGCATGAAGCGGTGAGTGTGGCTATCCTCTGGAGCCAGGTGGGAATGGGGAGACCAGGGTTTAAATGAAGTTGTACCCACAGGTCCCGCTCAGGTGACGGTGAGGTGAGTGGCCTCATGCGGAAGGTGCCACGGGTGAGCCTAGAGCGCCTGGATCTGGACCTCACTGCTGATAGCCAGCCCCCAGTTTTCAAGGTTTTCCCAGGCAGCACCACTGAGGACTATAACCTCATCGTCATAGAGCGTGGTGCTGCTGCCGCCGCTGCTGCTGCCGCTGCTGCTGCTGCCGCTGGAGGCCAGCCTGTGACTGCACCTCCTGGCATTCCGGGTGCCCCGCCCCTGCCTGGTATGGCCATTGTCAAGGTAAGCTTACTCAAGGCATGATGGGAAAAAGGTGCTTTCACTAAAGCCTGAACTGTGTTAACATGTTTCTCATCACCATGCAGGAGGAAGAGACGGAGGCTGCCATTGGCGCCCCATCTGCTGCCACTGAGGGGCCTGAAACCAAACCAGTGTTGATGGCTATGGCGGAGGGACCTGGCGCTGAAGGCCCCCGTCTGGCCTCACCTAGTGGTAGTACTAGTTCCGGCCTGGAGGTTGTGGCTCCAGAGGGCACCTCAGCACCAGCTGGTGGCCCTGGTGCCCTGGATGACAGTGCTACCATCTGTCGTGTCTGCCAGAAGCCAGGTGACCTGGTCATGTGCAACCAGTGTGAATTCTGCTTCCACCTGGATTGCCACTTGCCTGTTCTCCAGGATGTTCCAGGGTGTGCCACTGGGTCTGGGCAGGGTGGAGGGCTTCTGTGAGGTCCTGTGCAGCCCCTTACATTATTTTCATGCCAGGGAGGAGTGGAGTTGCTCACTTTGCCATGTGCTGCCTGACTTGAAGGAGGAGGATGGCAGCCTGAGCCTTGACATTGGTGACAGCGCTGGAGTAGTGGCTAAACTCTCACCAGCCAACCAGCGGGTAAGGGGAGGGTCCAGCAGCTTTTGTACATATTCCCTACCGACCTTGCATTTTCCGGGTTTTTGGGGAGTCACCAAGCGCAGTTCTTGTTCTAATACCCAGCTCTGTATTGGGAGGGGGCGTTGGGGAGGGGGGGTTGGAGGGAGGGATGACTGTGGTGCCTCGGATTGAACCTGTGCCATACTCAGTTATACTGGAGATTAAACCCTTTTCTTTCACTAGTGAAGCCTTTGCTTTAGCCCTTTGCACCATCTTCTGGTCCCCCGTCACCTTTTTTTGGGGGGGGATGGGGGGTACCACACTTGGGTGTAGTCCAGGCTGTGCATTCAGGGATCATGCTTGATCATTCAGGCGGTGCTCAGGGACCATATAGGGTGCCAGAGATCGAACCCAGGTCTGCACATAAAAGGTGAATGCTGTACCACTGTACTATCTCTCTAGTCCCTACATTTCCCTCTAATGTCCTGTCCATAGAAGTGTGAGCGTGTCCTGCTGGCCCTGTTCTGTCATGAGCCCTGCCGGCCCTTGCACCAGCTGGCTACTGACTCTACCTTCTCTCTGGTGAGTTACTAGGCCTTGAGGGAATGGAGAGGGTAGTGCCTGAGGCTTTATTTATGGTTTTATCTTCTGCCTGTGGCTGTGGTTTCTACTTTAGGATCAGCCAGGTGGCACCTTGGATCTAACCCTTATCCGAGCTCGCCTGCAGGAGAAGTTATCACCTCCCTACAGCTCTCCCCAAGAGTTTGCGCAGGATGTGGGCCGCATGTTCAAGCAGTTTAATAAGCTAACAGAGGTAGGCCCAAAGAAACTAGCTGGGGATGGGGGTGGGGGGGAAGGGGGGGATGAAATACAATGGCCGTTTGGAGAGCCGGGTCCCACCATTGCTATCTTCCTGACCCAGGACAAGGCAGATGTGCAGTCCATCATCGGTCTGCAGCGCTTCTTCGAGACTCGCATGAATGAGGCCTTTGGTGATACCAAGTTCTCTGCTGTGCTGGTGGAGCCCCCACCACTGAGCCTGCCTGGTGCTGGTCTGAGTTCCCAAGAGCTGTCCAGTGGCCCTGGTGATGGACCCTGAGGCTCCAGTATCCCTAGCCAGACCCTTATCCTGGCTATTACCTGTCCTTTCAACATACCCCTCACAACCTTTCCCCTTGGTGGTCTGGCTCCCACTTCTCGGTGGTCCCATCCCCTGCCCTCTCACAATATGGTTTTTACTTCTGTGGATTTAATAAAAACTTCACCACTTCTTCAAGAGTTGGTTGGTGTAGGTAGTGGTCCCAGAGCCTGTTTGTATTTTGGTCCACACCAGGCAGTTCTCATCGTTGACTGCAACCTAGCTCTGAGCTCCAGAACATATAGGATGAAGGGGAACAAACCTGGGTTGGCCATGGCCAAGGCAAGCATCTTAGCTACTGTAGTATTGTTCAAGCCCCGAACCTGGTTTATCCTGTGTGAATGAATACCTCACCAAACCCTGGTGGTTGTGTGTCATTGTTTACCAGTTGACTGGTAAAGAACATAACTTTCTAGGCTCTTCCTGTGCTGGTTTGTGTGTCACAGGGGAGCAGGCACACTGGAAATTCTGTCCTGTGGGGGAAGGGGGACGTTGCTGCTACCTGTGACTAAAAGTAAGACACCGTGAAGGCCAAGAATACACCAAATAGCAACTTGTAGCAGGTACTTACTCTTAGCTTAAAATCAGGATGCTGCAATGAATGGATGTAGCTGAGACTCTGGTCAAACACCACCCCCTACCACGTGACCTGGAAAACTTGGAGGTAAGTCAGAATCAGAGGAGCTTATCTTATCTAACCTGTGTGTTGATGGACAGCTTAAAAAAAAGCTGATGTGAAAAGTTGGTATGGCCAGTCATAAAGCTCAGGAACTCTATAGTGTTCGATCTTTTTATTAACACAGAAGACATAACAATGAAAACATTTGTACTTCTCCCGTTAGTCCCTCCGTAGGTTCTTGAGCCGCTCCTCCAGGTCAGCGTCAGCATCTACAAGGGCAGAGGCTGTAGCCTCTGCTTTTTTCCCACCAGCAGCCACACTGAGTGAGCCACCAGTGGATGGGAGGTCTGCAAAGAGAAAGTTAAGAATTTTTTGGGGGGGGCTGGAGAGAGCACAGCGGGCGTAGAGCGTTTGCCTTGCACGAGGCCCGACCCGGGTTCACCCGGGTTCGATTCCCAGCATCCCATATGGTCCCTCGAGCACCGCCAGGAGTAATTCTGAGTGAAGAGCCAGGACTAACCCCTGAGCATCACTGGACGTGACCCAAAAAGAAAATTTTTTTCCCTTTTTTGGGTCACACCTGACGAATTACTCCTGGCGGTGCTCAGGGGACCATATGGGATGCTGGGAATCGAACCCGGGTGAGGCTGTGTGCAAGGCAAATGCCCTACCCGCTGTGCTGTCGCTCCAGCCCCAAGAGAAAGTTAAGAATTTTTATGGAAAAGAGTAATAACGGGCAAGAGGGTCAGGGGTGGGCTGTGGTGGGTTAGGGCCCATTGTTTGGGGTACTCACTTGACAACTCATCTGACAGGCTCAGCCCCAGCTCATCAAGTACCTGGGACACAACAGCATCACTAGGGAGGAAAAGAGAAACTCGGGAGGACCAGGATTATAATTGCCATGTAGGCATGCATTCCCACCTGCCTTTCCCCTCCAAACCTCTCCTCTTCATCCTCTTCATCACCCATAGCATCATCAATAGCGTCATTCATCATCTCCTCTTTCATGTCCATGATCTCCGCTTGCCGCTCAAACTCCATCATGATCTTCTGGATTTGGGGCAACTTGAGCTGGAATTGGCGGGAGTGAGGGTCTTGATTTTGAGGTGGGGGTGGGTTAGTAGGCAGAGGAGTAGGGAGACACACACCTGTCTGTTCATGGTGCCCATGGCTTTGGTTACACCTTTCATGGCTTGTGCCATTGAATTGTTTGACTTGAGTGTCTGGATCTTGAGGGACACAGCCTGGATATTGGCCCGCATCAACACAAACTTGCGCACATAGCGACGGGTGCGAACCAGGTCTTTTGCCATGATGCGTACTGCATCCTGCAGAAACAGATAAAGGCAGGAGGACTGCTGTTTGAACATGCTTTTTTCCATTACTTATTAGGGCTTTTAGGGATCTCTGGTTACCCATAAGCAGCTGTTCTTCTCTATCTCACTATTGGTCTACTACTACACAAGCTCTTCTGTGCTTGCTTTTCTTCCCATGTGCTGAAATAAGTCTGCTCACTGGTTTTGGTATCACATCTGGTAGTGTGAAGGGACCACTGTTAGGGTGTACCATGTGGTCTTGGGTTTTGGCATGTGTTCATCCCTTAGAGCTAGAGTCCTTGCACCCTTGCATACTCTACAGGTTTATTCTATTTAAAATTTTTGTATTTTGGGTCATACCTTGGAGGACTATATGGTATGCCAGGGGATTGAATCTGGGACAGCTGTTTGCGCAACAAATACCCTCTCTATTGTACTATTGTTCAGGCCCTACTTTTTGGAAGGATTTATGGGGGGAGGGGGCGGGCAAGGTGCAGCAGGATGCCTGGCTTGTGTTTACTCTTGGAAGGAATCTGGAGACCCTATGGGGTGCCAGGGATCAAACCCAGGTCAGCAGTATGCAAAGCAGGTGTTCTTTGTCCTGTATCGGACTATTTTATTTTTTGGCCACACCTGGGAGTGCTAAGGGGATCATATGGGATGCTGGGGATTAAACCCAGGTCAGCTGTGTGCAAGACAAATGCACTATCTCTAGTACTATTTCTGAGGCCCCTCTAGCCAATTATTTAAAATTTTTTTTTTCATATTTAAAAATTGTATTTTTGGGTAGATCTGGTGGTACTTAGACTACTTAGGGTAGTACCAGGGAGTGAACCTAGGCATCTATGCAAAACACTGAGGCAACTCACTTGCTCTCGCCTATTCTATCAAAGTCCATCATCATCATCATCATACCTAGTACTGAATCTCCATATTAGAGAAGAATTCACCTCCTTCACTCACATAGGCACTTATCTCACACCAAGCTGAATCACATCTATGGCTTAGTTTACTGGCTAAACCTTTTGTGTATCTTAAAATAAATCTCAAAATAGCAGCTATCCCTGGCCCCATTACAGGCACTGTTTCAACTTTTTTTTTTTTGGGGGGGTCACACCTAGCGATGCACAGGGGTTACTCCTGGTTCATGCACTCAGGAATTACTCCTGGCCGTGCTCGGGGGACCACATTGGATGCTGGGAATCGAACCCAGGTCGGGCCGCGTGCAAGGCAAACGCCCTACCTGCTGTGCTATCAGTCCAGCCCCTCAACCTTATCTTTTTATCTCACTGACCTGATTGTCAGTCATATATCTGGCAGCTGAGCCTGTAATTCAGCTCCCCTGGAGACCAAATGAGCTGGTCTATTCATTTTTCTAACCATCTATTACCCTTCATCTGAAATTTACTACTCCATTTGCTCTCTGCTAGACACTTGTTCTCAGTGATCACAAGCTTGTTAAAGTTTGGCTGAGATATGATACTCTTGGAAGTGGCCTTTCTGGAATTTTAAACTAGCAGTGCCTGACAAAGCAACAGAATCCAACCCTGTGCTCCTTGTCTGCCCAACCCAGCTCACCATCTGGCCCTGCTTGGCCATTTTCTTGATGTCTGCAATGATTTTCTTCTCCTGGGTCTCCAGCTTCTGTCGCTCACGGTCCAGCTCGCGCATAGCTCGATTCAAAGCCCGCTGGTTTTGTCGAAGCAGCTCCTCTGGGGTCTTCCGGCGCCCAAACAATAGGTCCATTGCGGCAGAAGCCTGCCAATGGGCCTAGGACAACTGGAAAGCTTGGGTGGAACCTAGAATGAATCGACAAGCGGCACACTTGGGGTCACAGTGTGAGGAATTTACAAAATGGGAAGGAAGGGAAGAATACCATGGGTCGCCCTGTAGGAGAGCAATAGATTGCCCACTTCCCCACTTCCAGTGTGCCCACTGGTGCAAGGCAGCTTGTCCCCTCAGATTGTGGGTGCACTGAGATGAAGTGGGCGTGTGTGTGTGTGTGAACTCGGGCCTCTGGGTTCCTGAGTCAAGGCAGCACAGTTGTGGTAGGGAAGGCAATGGAAACTGAAGCTCTGAGTGCCCCAAACAAGGAAGATGGAAGTGTATGGATGAATCGTTTTCGAAATGGAGTCCCCAAAAGCTGTGGGGAGCAGGATTTGGGGGGAGTAGGATTTGGGGGTAGCACTGACAGGGCAGGGTATAGGTTTGCTGGGCGTCCACACCGAGGGCAGCAGAGGGGCCCCAAATGAGGCCAGGGAACCCAATAAAGGGCGTGGCACTAGGCACTCCGGTGTAAGGACCCTATGACGCTGCCGCCCGCACGCCCACCCGGGACCCGCGGCCCTGCTGCGGCCACTCACCGGAGCTGGAATGCAGCTCCGCTTCCGCTTCCGGGTCTCGCTCTTTCCCCGCGGATCCCACCGATAGTCCCTCGGTTCTGCGGCTGGCTCTCGCCGCCGTTTCCGGATTAAACGAGCTAACGTCACACACCCCGCCAACGCCCGGAATGCTGGGAAATGAGACGTACTCAACTGCGCACGCGCAGGCTGCGGCGGCAAGCGCATGCGCACCAGTTTCCCAGCGGCTCACCTATTTTTGATAGGTTCAACTTCCTCGCCCAAAGACGCTGAGTCAGGTGCTGAATCTCAGTACTTGAGAGGATGGTGTTTATTTATTTTTTGGTTTTGGGGCCACACCCGTTGGTTGTCAGGGATTATTCCTGGCAGTGTGCTCACTCCTTGCGATGCTTTGGGGACCATATGGGACGCCGGCAACCGAACTAGAGTCTGCTCCGTGAAAGGAAAGCGCCTTGCACACGGTTCTCTCTGGCCCTCAAGATTGTCTCTAAAAGATGCCATCGCTTGGTATCCCACAGCTATGACTAGCTGGAGGGACCCCCGACTTTTCCCTAAGGGCCAAGTCTCCACACCTGGTAGACTTAGGCAGGTGTCCCGGGCCTTCCCCACGACAGAATCGCGCGCAGCTGTCTTGTCAGCTAGGAATCTAGGTTGTGGGATCCTGCTCAATCATTCCAGATGGGATTGACCCCAACCCACATTAAAGCCTAGGCTTGTTTTCCTCTCCTACCACCAAGACTGCCTCATGACACGGGCAGTTTGCTGAATGATGTCTTTTTTTTTTTTTTTTTTTTGCGTTTTGGGTCACACCCAGCAATGCTAAGGGGTCACTCCTGGCTCTGCACTCAGGAATCACTCCTGGTGGTGCTTGGGGGACCATATGGGATGCTGGGAATCAAATCCAGATCGGCTACGTGCAAGGCAAAAGCCCTACATGCTGTACTATCGCTCCAACCCTGCAGAATGATATCTTAACTCCACACTTGACCACAAACTTCCCACCACTCTTGATGCAAGGTACCTGGTGGTCATCACCTGCCCATCCCACCGAACAGAAGGAAGAGGCGGAGGCCATGCAGTAACATTCCCCTTTAATAGCCTGGTGGGACCTCCAGTGGTGGAGGGGTGGGTGGGGTGCCCAGACCTTGTCCACCCAGTCCTTTCAGCCACCTCTCCCAGAGCCCAGAGTGGGGGCGGGGGCTGGACAGCACGCAGCTGGGGGATAGGCAAGCCAATTCATTTCCCATCATCGAGTGAGTTGTGGGAAGGCTGCTCCGACCTTAATCACATGGTGGTTAAAAATAAAAAGGTAACTAGGAGTGGGTGGAAGGGAGAGGAGACAAGGCCAGGGCATGGGCTTCCACCACAGGCTGCCCCACGCCCCCACCTGTGGCCCCCAATAAATATTTTCAGGGGACGCCGGGGCTGGTGGCCCTGGCAGGGGCGGATGTGCGCGAACCTTATTTCAGGCAGCGCTCGAAGTAGGTGGAGCCAATATAGCCTCCCCGCATGGAGCGCTGCACATTCTGCTCAAACAGCCGCCGGTTGTTCTGCAGGACCTCCGCGGCCTCTTTGTTCAGCGGGTCTTCAGGGTTGGGCTCCTGTAGCCAGGATGGGTGGGGTCAACAGGCCCAAGTGGCAGAGGGTTAACCTTCCCCAGTCCCACTACTCACTCCTACTTACCAAGAAGAGATACTGCAGGCCATAAATTATGGAGTTTATCGTAAGGACTGGCTTCCAATCCTCTCTGTGGGCAGAGAGAATTAGGGTCAAGGCTGCTTAGTGGGCAGCAGCCACAGACCTTCCTGGGACAGGACAAATCAGGCCCAGGGTCCAGGAAAATTTGGTTGTGGAAGGTTACTGGGAGGTTTGTTGGACAGGCCTGGGAGAATGCCAAGGTCAATCCATGAGAAAAAAAAAGGGGGGGAGGGAGGCGGGTAGGGAACACATACAATGATGATGACAACACCACAACAAGGAAAAGGAAAGGGACTGAGGTCAATGCAATACAAGGCCATAATGGGGACCTTGCAAGCAGGGCTGTGGAGAACAGTGGCAGTCTAATGCCCTCACCTGAGAATGTTGAGGCAGACGTTGCCCTCTAGGTCAATGTTGGGGTGATAGACCATCGTCTCACACTTCACCTTGGGGGGGTCATGCGGGTAACCCTGGCCCACCTGGCTCCAGGAGAAGAGAGGGAAGGTAGACAGGTCCCCCACAATGCCAGGTTGGGGTCTTAATTGTTGCCTCCTCCGCCAGTGAAGGCATCCCTACCCACCTGGAACTCACCTTAAAACTGAACACAAACTTCCCACTCTTGTAGAAGCCCTAGGAAGGTAGAGAAGAGGAAGGGATTAGGTCTGGCAAATGAAGGAGGTTTTCCTCCTTGGGATGGAGTCAGGTTCCCTTCAATCCGCTTCCATTCCTCACCTCATCAGGACAGATAACCAGCTTGAAGTTGAGGAGGTCATCGGGGTCTGAGAAGCTGATGTCACACGTCTTGGGCAGGTTCAGTTCGTTTATGTCTGGTTAATGCAACAGAGAAGGGGAACAGAGAGAGAGGGGAAGGAAGGGAAAAGAAAGTATTCAGAGTAAGTGAAAGTTATCAATAGAGCCCCCATGGCTTCCTCCAGGACACCCCAGGACTCTAGCCTAAGATGTGCCCCCGCCCAAAAAAAACCCAACCCTGTTCTTGTTTCTTGTGTTAGGCTTGTCTGGATCTATAGTGTACCACCACAAACATTAAACGTGGCTGTGCCCTAGCTCTTGGCCTAAGTAGTTTCAACTGTTCTGACCCCACAACCTCAAGCCCAGCATCCAGTAGCTATGTCCCTCCAACCCAGATGCCAAGTGCATCCCCTGGCAGCACTCTGAAAGTATGGGCCTTCCCGGCTTCTTTTCCCATTGTTTCTTAGTGAAGTAAATAGTTTTATTTAGGAGACAAGTGCGAAGACTTCAGTTCCACAATGGAAGAGAAATTAAGTACCCTGAGCAGATATGTGAGACTCCAGAATGGAGTAGCCCCCTCCTCCCCACACCCCAAATCCTTGGTTCGGCAGCAGTGACCTTTCACTTCCAATACAGACTATCTCCCAAACTCAAGGACTTTCTTCTCTTTTCTCCATTCCTGTCATCCCCAACTCCGGTTCCCATCTAACCCCAGACTTGAATCTCCAGGCATCCTAGCCTACACCCCTGACTCTAATAGTCCCACCTTAGGAATTACAGTAGATATGCGTCTCCATTGCAATCTCCAGTGCATAGCACACAATTATCCTTTCTTTCTCCACCTGTCATCACACCCCAAATTCCTATGGGATCTCCAGGGCCACAAGCCACCCTACCCCATCTTACTCAGATTCCTAGTTATCCGGCACAATACAGCAAATCTTCTCCCACCCCTACCTGTAATACCCGCTCCTCTGCCAGGTAAGCACGCTCCTATCCGAACCCCCGAATCTCTGGCCCCTCAACCCGTCGCCGAGGTCCGACTCTCAGACTCCAGTACCAAATAAGAGACGACTGGTTTCCCAAATACCCCGAACACCCTGTGTCTCCCCATTTCTGACCAGTCCCGTTACTGCATTAGCCTAACCTCGATCTTCCATCATGCAGGCCTTGACCCCCGACCCCCATGTTCCCGGCACCGCCACCTCTAAGGCTTAGTGACCGCATCACTCTACTCCAGAACCCACATCACGCCACCCCAGGCCTTGACCTCCGACCCCACCCCATCCTAACTCCCGCCACCTTTCTGGATCCGCAGCTGAGCTGCCGACGCCTTCTTGCTGCTGCCCTTGGTGCCGCCGGCCGACTCCTCCTCCTTCTTCTGCTGCTTCAGCGAGAACAGCTTGATCATCCTGCCGCCGCCGCCGCTACCGCCGCCGCGGGGCCCGGGACCCCGGCCACCCGGTTCCCCGCTGCCGGCCGCACCGCCTCCGCCACTTGGACCCGCACCCGCGGCCTCCTCCGCTGCTACAGCCGTCCACCCGGCCTGCCGTGCCGCTCCGCGCCCAGCGCGCGGCCCGCGTCGGCTCCCGTACTCGGGCTCCGGCCTGGCCCGTCGCCTCGGACTCGCTCGGCTGTTCTCGGGCCGACTCGGCTTTTCTCGGACGCGCCCGTCCCCGCCCCCAGCGGCCGCTCCCTCCTCCCCTTTGCCCGCTCAGGTCTCCTCGGGCCGGGCCGCCGTCGCCGCGGCGGGACTCTCGGGCCGTGTCGCTTTCCCGCTCGCTCGATCCCTCCGCGAGGGGGCTATGGCGCGAGGTGGATGGAAGGGGCGGCCGCGGCGGTGGAGGCCGTGTCCTGGAGGAGGTCCGGCTTCCGCGGCAGTACCGGCTTCGGCGTGGAGGTCCGCAACGGCCCCGGGGCCCCACGCTTCGGAGACTTCCGCCGGCCGCTTCGGCTCGGCCCGCCTGGCCGCGCTGTGCGCTTGCGCAGCCGCCGCTGGCCGGCTGAGCGACGGCCTGTGACACTCGGGCGCCTCCGAGTGGACTCGGATATTTCCGTTCGGGATGGCCCATCCCGTGGCCACTTCCGGACATGCTCGTGGACTGAGGAAAGGGGCGGTACCGCCGCCATCTCCGAGCGACATTGCCGCCTCGCCCCCTCGCTCGCTATCCCACTTTGCGGCGTGGGCTTGAGCAGACCGCAGCAGGTTGGGCCGGGGCTTAGGCGAGTCCGTGATTGTACGAGGTCGAGAACCTCAGTGAACCATCCAAAACCTAAAGCACATGCTTGCTGAGATCCTGGTCGAGGTAAACTAGCAAATAAACCGTGCATTGGGCCAGGCAGTGATGAGCACTGTGGTACTTTACACGAGTGAATACTAGAGGGACGGGTCGTGGGGCTGGGCGCGCTCCCGAAGGACCGCTTGCTCCGCAGCCGAGGCCAGCCCCTCGCCCAGTTCCTGAGCAGCGTCTTGGGGCGCTCCCTGCGGAAGCGCGCGCCGTGCACGGCGGGAGGCGGTGGCCGTGGCGTAGCTAGCCAGCCCCTCACTGAATGTGGCTTCCCGGGCCTCCCCTGTTATCACCGGCGACATTCTGTTAGCGTCCGGACCTTTGTGGGAGAAGTTAGTGGAGTTGGTGGAGTGAGCCATTCTCCAGCCCTGGGTCCGGCAAGAACGATGTTGGCCTGTGGTAGGTCACCCGGCCCTGACCCCAGGCCTCACTTGGAGTTGCCATGGTACCCTCTCACGCCCGTGGTCTCCCTGGACTACTGTGTACTGCGGCCCCAGGTTCGAGGACGTTGTATGTGCCTTTCGGGATCTCGCAATGGCTTCCGATATCGTACAGGTAACCGGCTCTCCAGAGATTGTGCTCTCGGTCTGGGTCCACTTGGAGCCCTTGGGCTCAAGGATTGATACCCAGTGGTAACCTCCCAGTCATTCCCCGACTGTGGCCCTTGGGGCCTCAACGCCACATCCCTCCGTGCCCTTCAGCCTTCTCCTTGTCCCAGTTTTATAATCCCAGCATCATTTATTAATTTTTATCTTTGAAAACTGAGTGCTGGACAGGTGCCCAGGTGAGCATGGGTGCTAAGAAGCCTCAAAATTGTTCATGGTAGGGGATTGAGAGGAATAGTACAGCGAGTAGGGCTGTATTATTCCTTGCTTCCCAGTATCCCATAGCTCCCCCATAATCCCCAGTCAGAAGCCAGGAGTAAGCTGTGAACATCATCAGTTGTGCCCTCCCTCCCCCCCCCAAAAAAAGCCCCGAGAATTGTTCAGGGTAGGAAGGTCAGTGATAGTACAATGGGTTACTCAGCTAATGTAGGTTCAATTCTTAACACCTCATGGTCCCCTCAGCCTGGCCAGGAGTGATCCCTGAGTGGAGAGCCAGGAATAAGTTCAGAGCACTGCCCGGTGTGGACCCAAAAACAAAAATACAAAAAATTGTTCAGGATTGGGGCCGACATGACTGCAACAGTCCAGCTTGTTTGACACACAACCACAGTCTCCATCTTCTAAGCCTTTCCATTCTTGTTCATGATTATATTTGTGTATACAGAATATTTTCAGTTAGTGGTTTATGACCAGCCTGCCGAAGTCTAGGGGTAGCACCAGTTACCCCATCACCTAAGGAGACAGTTATGGAGATCCATCACATTGGGGATGAGGGTCTTAGTTCTCTAGTGTTGAACTAACCAAAGGTGAACTTTTGATCTCTTACCTTATAGTTCATTTAACGAGATACTGGGCAGCAAAGCAGAATTCTTGGCTATGTGATCTGGGTCAGGGAGGAAAGTTTGGTTGAACTGAGGCAGTAGGCTGGGCTAGAAAAGGACTAGCACTTTTTTTTTTTTAATGTAGGAGTATTGCTATTTATTAAGGACTAGCACTTTCTTCCTTGTTACCTTCATGGCCAATCAAGTCGCAAATAATCACTGGTGATAATGTTACCTACATTCTGGGCCTGTAACCTCTTAGAAGGCAGCACAAGATTTGGCACATACGGGGACCAGTTTCTTGGAGGGACTGTAAAATAGTTTTGAAGAGTGAAGGTATAAGTGTACCTGGTGGTGTCAGTGAGAGCATCTGTGTAACCCTCATATTTTTGAAAGCGGAGTCCAGGAACAGGCAGGGAAGGGAGACCACATTGGTGATTGAGATGAGAACAGTGCTAATAGGCGGACAGATTGTGCAGAAGGGCTGGAGCAAGAAAAATTATTGGAATATGGTATGGGAAGGCTGGATTTGGGTCCAAACAATATTGGGTCAAATACAGCTGATCCAAGCACAGGCTGCCTAGCTTTCCCAGCTGGACTAGGGTCTTGGGCTTCCTCCTATGGCTGTTGTCAAGGGTTATCAAATGGTCATTCTGTCCAAGCCCTCAGAGTATAACAGCACCTAGGTTCTCAACCCCCAGTCACATGCCAGGCTAGGTTGCAAAAGTGTCCTTAACTAATTTTAGAAAGACTTCATATTGTTCTTTGTGTTTTTAAACCTTTGAGTCACACCTGAAGATGCTCAGGGGTTACTACTGGCTCTGCACTCAGGAATTACTCCTGGCAGTGCTCAGGGGACCATATGGGATGCTGGGAATCAAATCTGGGTTGGTTGCATACAAGGCAAACCCTGTACCCGCTTTACTATAACTCTGGCTCCTCCTCCTGTTTCTTAAGATGGTAGTTCAACCCATAAGGGACGTCCATAAAATTCTAGTGTGGGCCTCTGGTCTGATGTCTCCATGCCTTTCATGATAGTTTTTCACATGTAGAATCTCACATTGTTGTTTTTGGACTACACTTGGCTGTATTTGGGGCTCTTTGTTTTGTGCTCAGGGGACCATATGGGGTGCTGGGAATTGAATTTGGGTTGGCTACATGCATGGTAAACGCCTTACCTACAGTAAGATCTGGCGCCAAATCTCACTTTTTTTTTTTTTTTTTTTTTTTGCCAAAGGCAACTTGTGCTCAAGGCTGATTCCTGGCTCTGTGCTCAGGAATCACATCTGGTGATGCTTAAGATCATATTGGGTGCTGGGGATCTAACCTAGGTAGGCTGTGTGCAAGGCAAATGCCTTACCCATTATACTATCAGGTCCCAGAAGCTTACTTTGTGTTGTTTTTGGGCCATACCTGGTGGTGCTCAGGATTTACTCTTGGTTCTGTGCTCAGAGAGCACTCTTGGCAGTGCTGAGTGAACTGTATATGATGCCAGGGATCAAAGCAAATGTCCTTCATGTTCTTAATCCCAAAATAATAGAAGGCAGCTTTGTTGTTTGGGGGGCAACGCCTCGTGAGGTGACCAGGGTTTACTCTTGGCTGTGTACTCACGAAATCACTCCTGGCGGGTTTTGGGTGCCAGGGATCAAATCTGGGTAAGCCATGTGCAAAGCAAGTGCCTTCTCTGTTGTTCTGTCTCTCTGACCTCTTTCTTATTATCTTCACTTTCTGATTATAAAACTCACAGAATTTCAGAAAGATAGCATAGAAGTTAAGGTACTTGCCTTGCATGTGGAAAACCCCAGTTTGATTCCTTGCACCACCAACTTCAGTGCCCTGAATGCTAAGCAGGAGTAGCCCATGTAACAGCCCCTCAAATAGTCAGTCTTGTTAAAATCCACATGAGAGAATCTTTGAAGTTCTGGGGACTCCCTCTAATTTGAGACCACTTTACTTCTGTGTACAATAGATCTGACTCCTAGCCTGTGCTTAGGGCTCATTGGTGGTCTTCCTCACCACTCTGAGCCTGTGGATTTCAGACCAGGGCTTAAGAGTCCCTTTTATGGTTGGAGAGGACAAATGCTATCATTGGATCAGGGACACTATTCTGTCCCCCCACTTCATCAGTTGTTGACATTATCAGAGATGGTGGATGCCCCTGGCTCTGGGTGGGGTTGAGGATGTTTGGTGGGTAGATGAAAGAAATCGGGCCAGGAAAAATATGGGACTGACACATATTTTTTGTTTTGGTGCCCAGCTAGCTAAGCGGTACCCAGAGGATGTGAATCTGGAACATGTATTCCAGCCCTTTTGAGTTAACTTCTTGGCTTGCGCATGTTCTCTAGCTCTTTAAGCTATCTTTCTGACTTCTGGCATTTTACCTAAAGCCAGTCTTTTGGTTCCCTTGTTTTTGGGATCATACTAAGCAATGGCCTGGGATCATTTCTGGTGGGCTTGGGGGACTCTGTGTGGTGCCATGGATTGAACCCGGGCTAGCCACATGCAAGACAAGTGCCTTACCTGCTGTATTATCTCACTGTTACTGAAGCCAGTCTTGTGGGGGTGAGTTCTCAGCGTGGTGGGTATTTGAGGTTGATGTATCTAGGGTAAATGGTACAGGAACACCCCAAGACATGGACAGGCACTATTAGGAGCCACCTCTGCAGGGTGTGTTTCTTTGAGGAACCATGTTGGTGCAGATGGGTCAGAGGGATCCACAGAGGTGAGGAGGCACTGTGGGTGAGACTCATATTCCAGACACTGCTTATTGAGCACCTATTGGGTGAGATTGCAGGATGAGCCTGCAATCACAGGCCTCACAGCAACCCTGTGAGGCAGGAGTTTGTGGCCCCATTCCCCACCCACAGGACCTGGTGGACATGCAGAGAACAAAGCAAGTGGTGAGCGCTGCCTACCGTGGATGCGCTGTTGCTGGATGAGTTTGGTACTCAGGTGGAAGCTGCAGCGATGGTCCCGGGAGGCAGAGGACTGCATGAGAGTGAGTCGCTAGTGGAATGCCTTGCCACACTCGGGCAGGCGAAGGGCCGCTTCCCAGTGTGGATGTGCCAGTGTAATGTGAGGTTGTATGCTGCCTGAAGCTCTGGCCACATTCAGGGCAGGCCAAGGGCCTCTCTTTTGTGTGAATGTGCTGGTGCTCCCTGAGGTGGGAGACCTGTATGTAGCCCAGGCTGCACTCAGTGCAGTGATAGGGCTTCTCTCTTGTGTGGGTTCACTGGTGCCATGTGAGCTTGAGGCAATGACTGAA